CCATCTCTGTTTCCATTTCAGGGGAGTCTCCTGCCTTCCTTAGCAGGAAGGCATCTTTCCAAACCAAGGCACCTCCCCAGGAAAAGCCCAGCCATGCAAGGAGGATCCATCACTTCCCCGGGGCACAGCCTCAGCTTGCCCAGCTCAAAGAGAGCTGGAGCATTGTGAGAAGAAGAAGGAAGCAGGTTTTGTGGAGCGTGTTGTCATTTAAGAGAGCTCACGGTCACCTCCTGAGAACGCACTGTCACCTCCTGAGGTGACACACTGCATTAACAAGGTGATATTAATAGGCAGATCCCACATGCAGAATTTCACCCACGGAATTGCAGTGACGTTTAACCTTGTGCCAAGTGCGCAGCAAGCTGATTATTTTAATTACAGGGTGGGATTTTTTTGTTTTTTTTTTTTTTTTTCTCTTTCCCCGTTGCAGTCCCATTATGAGCTTCAGCCACATCACTGAAGAGCTGAAGGGAGGAGGGGTCCATGGCAGCATCCAACACCCACGTGCAATCAGGGGTTGGTCACCTGGCTGAGCACCACCACAGGGACACTTGAGGTCCCCTCCCAGCCCCAAATCACTGCTCAGGCCTCTCTTGCAGCTCTGCTGGGACATTTAATGCTCAGTACAGGGCAACACACTTATTGCACATAAAGCATCTACATTTACACCTGAGCTTGGAGTTGGGTATTGCCCTGTTATTCTAACTTTTTCTAAGCCTTCTGATGTTTACATTTTTGTAATGGAGTTCTCACGCATTTTTCATGTAAATAATGATTGTTTTGCATTCCTTTCTGGAGAAGGAGAAATTTGATGGACTGTTGGTTTGACCAGTGTTGTTGGAGAGGCGGCAATTTCATCCTCCAATCCAGGGTCACTTTGGGAATTTTAGAAATATCGAGGTTGAGAAATAAACTGCCCCTTTTTTACCTTGGACGTCCCAGCTTCTGCATGTCATTCATTTTGTGTCCTATTGCAACAGTTGGGCTTTTGGCTTCCACCAAAGCCATGGGAAAACCCACGTTTGCTTCACAAATAAACCCAAACACAGCATTTTTGAGAAACCCTACGCAACAGCCAACATTTTATTTTTTTTAATTGTTCCTTAACTTCCTATCTGCAGAGCACTCTAACATAATCAGGTCCTCTGCACAAGGGATTAGCAGGCTTATATCCCGTGGATCCAATCAGCAAAGTCTATCAGCAAAACATACTTATGTTGATACAGCTATTATAATCTGCATAATTCTTCTGAGTTCACATACTTAATGGATAGCAAACAGAGTCATTACTGCTGCAACTTCCATCCTTAGGATCTCTACGAGCCATTCACTGCAGTGTTTTTTATTATTCATAGCTTTAGTTATTGATTTTCAGCAGAAGATACATGCTTTTAAGCACCATAAAAGTAAGAGAGGAAAACAAATAGCACTATTCCAAGATTAATACGCTGCTCATAATAAAAGTATGGCTGTCACATTGCTCTGGGTTGAGCCAGCGGAGCTTTGACAAATTCCATGCAAAATGGCTGAGTCGCTTAAGCAGCTCGTTAAATAATTTAAAGGCAAGTTTTACTGGAGGCAGGAAAGTTCTTCCCCAAATCCACTTCCTTCGATTTATGAGTCTGGAGTATGTTAATCAACACAAGCTGATGCTGCATCCCAGAAGGGCACAGACCGTGGGGAGGGTTTGAGGGACATGGAGATAGGATATGATGGAGTGATCCCCACATGGAGGGCTTGAGGGACATGGAATATAGGGTTTGATCCCTCTGTGTGTGATCCCCACAGGGAGGGTTTGAGGGACATGGGATATAGGATTTGATGGAGTGGGATCCCTCTGTGAAAGGTTTAAAGGACATGGGATATAGGAGAAGTGGGATCCCCACATGGAGGGTTTGAGGGACATAGGGCATAAGATTTGATGGAGTGGGATCCCTCTGTGGAAAGTTGAAGGGACATGGGATACAGGATATGATGGAGTGTGATCCCCACAGGGAAGGTTTGAGGGACATGGGATATAGGATAAGAAGAAGTGGGATCCTCACATGGAAGGTTTGAGGGACATGGGATATAGGATAAGAAGAAGTGGGATCCTCACATGGAAGGTTTGAGGGACATGGGGTATAGGGTTTGATCCCTCTGTGTGTGATCCCTCTGTGGAGGGTTTGAGGGACATAGGGCATAGGATTTGATGGAGTAGGATCCCTCTGTGGAAGGTTTAAGAGACATGGGATATAGGAGAAGAAGTGTGATCCCCACAGGGAGGGTTTGAGGGACATGGGGTATAGGATTTGATGGAGTGGGATCCCTCTGTGAAAGGTTTAAAGGACATGGGATATAGGAGAAGTGGGATCCCCACAGGGAGGGTTTCAGGGACATGGGAGATAGGATAAGAAGAAGTGGGATCCCCACCGGGAAGGTTTGAGGGACATGGGGTATAGAATAAGAAGTGGGATCCTCACATGGAAGGTTTGAGGGACATGGGATACTGGATTTGATGGAGTGTGATCCCCACATGGACGGCTTGAGGGACACGGAATATAGGGTTTGATCCCTCTGTGTGTGATCCCTCTGTGGAGGGTTTAAGGGACATGGGATAGAGGATTTGGTGAAGTGTGATCCCCACAGGGAGGGTTTGAGGGACATGGGATATAGGATAAGAAGAAGTGGGATCCTCACATGGAAGGTTTGAGGGACATGGGATACAGGATTTGATGGAGTAGGATCCCTCTGTGGAAGGTTTAAAGGACATGGGATATAGGAGAAGTGGGATCCCCACATGGAGGGTTTGAGGGACATAGGGCATAAGATTTGATGGAGTGGGATCCCTCTGTGGAAGGTTTAAGAGACATGGGAGATAGGAGAAGAAGTGTGATCCCCACAGGGAAGGTTTGAGGGACATGGGGTACAGGATTTGGTGAAGTGTGATCCCTGTGTGGAGGGTTTGAGGGACATGGGAGATAGATAGGATGTGATGAAGTGCGACCCCTCTGTGGAAGGTTTGAGGGACATGGGATACAGGATTTGGCAAAGTGTGACCCCTCTGTGGACCAAGGATCCCGAGCCGTGGGGCAGCTGACAAGCTTGGGTGCAGTGATTATCCGTGTCCAAATCGTGGGACACCAGGAATCCTCAGGGTGGGGCACATAAACCTGGAAAGTGCAAGGACAGCTCATCCTTCCCCTTTGCCAGCTCTCCAACAGAGGATTGATCCCAAACATTTGATTATGACCCAACATCCCTCTGCTTCCTACAGTGTGCAGGCTGCAAAGAGCCCATTTAAAAGTCTAAAAATAGCATCATTTCAAAAACAAAACAAACAAATACGAAAACTCAGATTCAAGCAGAAAGATTTTGATTCAAAAATAGGGTTTTGATTAAAGGCAGTTTTCTTTGGTGCCCTATTTTCCTGCAGGACTCACACACAGCTAAGAGGCACTCTCAAAACTGACATATTTGGGGTCACTTTTACAGTCTCACAAAATGCTTCACTGGAAATGAGCAATTCCTCTTCAGGATCGCCATCCCACCAAATCCCACCCAACACCCACTACAGCTTTTAGTTAATTGCTTTATTCCCACTTTTAGTTCATTTTGTGCACTCAACGCCAGCCCAAGAGCCACAACCACACCCGGGGAAGCAGCAGAAAGCCCCTGGCAAGTTTTGGGGGTTGCAGCACCAAACACAAATGTCTTCAAGAACAAACAAACCTTGCAGCAACACTTTCCCAAAACTCTTCCAACACCTGGAGGCACCCAGGACTCTGGTGACAGTGGGGACTCCCTCAACTCCCCTGCTCCTCAAAGTGGTTTTAAATGAGATTTTTTAAAATTTTTTTCTTATGTTTCTGCAGTGATGTCTCATTGCTGCTGCCACCCCCTGTTGTCTTCTTCATGGAGCAGCTCCATAAGTAACTTTGGGGAGCCTCCTCTAGAGAGAATTTGGGGGTGTCCACACCTCCTTAGTCACTCCAGGAGAAAATCCAGGTGTCTTTTTGAACATCCACAGAACACTTAAATCCAAATTCCTTCAGGAACAGCCCCAAAACTGTGCCCAGGAGCTCCCACATCCACAGAGACCCAACACAAAGGTGATGCTCCCCCAGCCCCATTAATTACCACCCTCACTCCAATTCCACCAATCACCCCATTAATTACCACCCTCACTCCAATTCCACCAATCACCCCATTAATTACCACCCTCACTCCAATTCCACCGATCACACCTCTCCTTCTTACTGCTCTTCCAGGAGGTAACAAGGCTTAGGTGTTTTCCAGGGCCTCAAAGTTTCACATTTGCATCATCAACACAACCTCTTCCTAAACAGTAGAAACCTTATTTTTTTCCCCTAGTTTTAATACCTGTATAATAAATTCTATTTTATTTTGTATTCATACAATTAACATTAGTATTGATTATAAAAAAATTTATGAATATAAAATTCTTCTTTCATACTTCTCCTAATGGGGGAGGTGAAAGCTTTTTTGAGCAGCTGTGAAAAATAAAAATTAAAAAAAACCATGATAATCATAATAATAAGCTTATAATAGCTATTTCATATATTTTAGTTACATAACATATATAATTATATTATATATATTGTATATTTTAAATTATATATAATATATATTTTGTCTTAATTATATAATAAATATAATATAGCTTTATAATATATATTCTATATATTTTAATTATCAAATCTATATAATGTATAATTATATAATATATATTTTATTTATATTTCAATAATATAATATACAATACAGATTTTATATAGTTTGGGGGTGCCTCAGGGCTGATCCCCCAAAGGATCTGGGAGACCCTCAAGGCTTGATTCTCTGAATCTGTGGGGTTATCTCATTATTATTATTATTATTACTACTACTACTATTATTATTATTAAATTATTGCTTAAAACGGGACACTCCGGTGAGACCTCCACGCCGCTGGGGGCCGCTGTGGGGAGGCAGCACCGGAAGCGGAAGCGCGGGCGGAAGCGGCGCCGGCGGAGCGCCCGGGCGGTGAGTGGGGCCCGGCGTTCCCGGTGTGCCGCGTTCGGCCCCGCGCTCCCGGCACCTGCGGGCTGGGTGCCGGTGCTTGGGAAGGGGGTCTGGGCGGTGGGGCTTGAAGTAGGCGGTGAGCGACCCGTCCCCCTGCGCGGTGAAGGGTCCGTTCAGTCGCGTCGCCGTGGATAGCCGATCACGGGTCCCGGTTTGCTGGGCTCTGTGAGCCCCAGTGCCCGCTGAGGGGCTGGGCTTGGCGGGATCCGTGCCTCTCCCCGGTGCCCGGGAAGGGGCCTGGCAGTGCCCAGCCCCAGCGCTCGGCGAGGGCCCGGTCGGGGGGGCTCTGCTCGGTCTCAGTGCCCGATGAGGATCCCGGTGTGGGGGGCCCGGGAGGCTGCGCCCCGGAACCCAGTCAGGGCTCCCGGTCTGCTGGGCTGTGCGAGCCCCGCTGTCCGCTGAGGGTCCCGGTCTGGGGCTTCTGACCCAGCCCAGGGAGGGCTCCGCACCTGCTGGGCTCTGAGCCCGCTGAGCTTTCGGGGTGCTTGAGCCCCCGATCCCCGCTCGAGCAGCCCAGCCTCGGCCCTGACGAGCCCTCGAGCCCGGTGAGGGTCGCGCTGTGCAGCCCTGCCCAGCATCCCGGCTGCCACAGCTGCCCCTGCCCGCCCGCCATGCCGGCCCAGGGCCCCTCGGGGTCCCGCCGGCCGCTGCTGGCCCTGCTGGTGGCCCTGGGCTGGCTGCTGGCCCTGCAGCTGCTGCTGGACCTGCGGGCGCTGGGGCTGCTGTGCGGGGCGCTGGCCGTGCTGGGGGGCTGGCTGGGCCCCCCGGCCCTGCTTCCCCGCGGCCGCCGGCTGCGGCTGGAGCGCTTCGTCAGCTCCCTGCGGGCCCCGGCCGGCAGCCCTGCGGACGAGGGCCGGCTGCAGAAGGAGATCGCCAGCACCGTCCGGAAGGTGGTGCGGGATTTCGTGGCCTCGTGGTACCGCACGGTGAGCAGAGAGCCGGCCTTCGAGGCCGAGGTGGAGAGGGCCATGCTGGGGCTGGCCGCGGAGCTGCGGCGGCGGATGAGGTGGGTGGACCGGCGAGCCCTGGCCCGCCGCCTGCTCCTGCTCTGCGGGCAGCACCTCCAGAGCTTCCTGCGGGCTCGGGATGCCCTGAGAGCCGAGCCCAAGGGCGGCCGGACGCTGTGGAGGGAGTACAGCCGGCTGGCGGGGCCGCACCCCGCTCTGCTGAGCCCCGCGGCCGAGGTGGGCTGTGCCCGCGCCGCTGTGGACGCGCTGCTGCGGGCGCTGGTGCCCTGGCCGCACCTGGAGACACGGACGGGACGTTTTGTGGTGGTGGAGCTGGTGGCCTGCAACGTGCTGCTGCCGGCCATCAGGAAGATGTCTGATCCCGACTGGATCAACCTGCTGCTCATTGGGGCGTTTTCCAAGAAGCCCCGGGGTGGGAAGCCCCACCCTGCACCCCCTGTGCCGGATTCCTTGTCTTTCCCGGCACAGACGGACGCAGCTCCCGCCGGGCTCCCCCCGTCCCCGAGGGCTGCCGAGGGGCTCAGGAGAGAGGCTGGGGCTGCTGGAGAGGAGGGAGAGGAGGCAAGCAGATCATGCAATGCAGAGGAACCCTTCCTGCGCCCCCAAGCTCTGGGATCCCTCTTCCCCTGTGAGGATTTGGAGCTGGAATCCCCTGCACCTGACGTGGGGCAGGACGTGGAGCTGCTGGCTCCTTCCCCCACTGGAGAGCTCCATGATGAGCCCCCCCAGGATTCTTCTATGCCAGAGGGAGCACCTGCCTCAGAGGATGGCACAGGGGACCTGGACCACGGCCCTGGCCCCAGCTTGGATGCTGGCCTGCTTCCCACCTCTGCTTTGAGCTCCTGCCCTGACATCCAGATCGAGCCAGCGGTTGAGAAGGAGGAGGAAAGCCCAGCTGTCCCCAGAAGGTTCTCCTCACAAAGACCCTCCAGCCTGGGGAGAGATCTGGGGGCAGCAGAGGGCCCAGCACAGTTTCCCCCAGAGCCTGGGCAGAGCCTGCCCCTGCTGTCATCCTCCCCAACAGCTTCCATGAGCACCTTCAGCTTCGAGCCCCTGAGCAGCCCCGAGGGGCCGGTGGTCATCCAGAACCTGCGGATCACCGGGACCATCACTGCCCGGGAGCACAGCGGCACCGGCTTCCACCCCTACACCCTGTACACCGTCAAGGTGAGGGCTCCCCGGGCACCCACCCCCTCCCACATCCCTGCTGCCACCTGCGCTGCTGTTTGCAGCGGAGGACTTGCTCTGGGTGGGTCTCCACAATAAATTTTGTCTGGTAGCGGGGAAATACTGGGCACTGTGGCTGTTTGGGATTCCTGTGGGGCTGGTTGAATCTTTTCCTGCTTTTGTTCCATCATGATTGGTTCCTTCCTCTTCAGGGAAGGCTTGACGTGAGGAATTGCTGGGTGGGGCCTGGGGGTTGAGGGGCAAGCAGGGAGCAGGGCTGTTTTGGGATGTGTCAGGATGATGCCTTTGCCTTCCTCCTCAGTATGAGACAGCCCTGGAGGGCGAGGCCGCGGGCAGCCTGCAGCAGGTGGCTTATCACACCGTGAACCGCCGCTACCGCGAGTTCCTCAACCTCCAGACCCGGCTGGAGGAGAAGCCGGAGCTCCGCAAGTTCCTGAAAAGTCAGTGCCTGCAGTAGCTCTCTGAGAAAATCCTTCTGCCTCTTGTCCCATTCCCTGTTCCTCTGCTCCCTGGGTTTCCTGCCCTGCTTGTGCAGCTCTCCTGCCCACATCCTCCAGTGTTCTGTGCAGAGCTGGCTGGAGGAATGATTTATCTCTTCTGGAAGTAAATTCCAGTATTTCAAACCATTCCTCTTCTCATTCCATGACAGCTGGTTTTGCAGTTTTGCACCATAACAGTGAATAGAAACACTGGTGTCTCTGTATTATCTTGGGCTGATGCAGCCCTGGGTTTCCTGCCCTGCTTGTGCAGCTCTCCTGCCCACATCCTCCAGTGTTCTGTGCAGAGCTGGCTGGAGGAATGATTTGTTTCAAACCATTCCTCTTCCCATTCCACGACAGCTGGATTTGCAGTTTTGCACCGTAACAGTGGATAGAAACACCGTGTATTACCTTGGGCTGATGCAGGCAGAGCAGTGTGTGGGGATAGCTTTAATCATTAGAGCATTCAGGTTTTAATAAAGACTAAAATCTGTAGATTTTAACATTTTAATTTTTAATCTTGACATTTTTACAATTTTAAGATCTAAAAGTCTTTTAAATTAAGGTTACTGTCATTTTGCAGTTTCCTCAAGCTTGCCTGTGTGTTTTTTTCCTTTGTAGACATCAAAGGACCAAAGAAACTGTTCCCTGATCTGCCATTTGGAAACATGGACAGCGATAAAGTGGAAGCCAGAAAAAGTCTGCTGGAATCTTTCCTGAAGGTGAGATGTTTGTGTGCCCCTGTGAGCTAAAAGCAGAGCTCAGGACAGCTTTGTGCAGACAGTGGAGCACACCATCTCTCTTCCATGTTACATGATCAGGTTGGGAGCTTGACTCCAAAATTATTTAAATCTCCATCTGTCCTTGCAGCAATTGTGTGCAGTCCCTGAGATTGCAAACAGTGAGGAGGTGCAGGAATTCCTGGCCCTCAACACCGACGCCAGGATCGCCTTTGTCAAGAAGCCCTTCGTTGTCTCCAGGATAGACAAGGTGGGAAAAGTGGGGAGCTGCTTACCTGAGCCCTTTCCAGCTGCCCCCAGGGATGCTTCCTAGGCTTCAGTGTCTCCTAGGAGCCAAAACCCTTTCTTTGGAGCTGGGCTCAGCTTGCCCAGAAACCCATAAAGGGTCAGAGTTTGTGTTAAAGAACCTATTTAATAGAAAATCCAGTGCAAGTCTCAAAACTCCTGATGTATGTAAGTAACAAGGATCAATCCAGTAATTAAAGGCAGTGCTGGCTTTGCAGATTGTTGTCAATGCCATCGTGGACACCTTGAAGACAGCGTTCCCCAGGTCAGAGCCCCAGAGCCCCACGGAGGATCTGAGCGAGTCAGAAGTGGATGGGAAATCCCAGCCAGACGGGAAGAAAAGCAAGTAAGGGCTCCCTCAGCTTGGCAAAACAAGGATTAATGCACAAACTGAGCCCGTGGTGGGGAAGAACTGACTTGGTGCTTTATGTGTTGGGTAGTAAATTCTGTGTTGGGTGGTAAATTCTATCATGCTCTAGCTAAATTACTTCCTCCTTCCCTTGCTGACCACAACTGTTTGAGCTCCAGTATATTTAAAGGGTTTCCCAGGAATGCTCAGGTTTTCACAGAAGGTAGGTTTGTTCCTGAAGGAGCTCTGAGGTGCTGCCATTTGCCAGCAGAGACACTAATGGTCCTGAGGAATTGCTTTTTAACCTTAAATATATGCAGGGAGTGATTTCAAAATACAGCTGAAAATTATCTACCTGAAAGTTCCCTCCTGCCTCTCCCATGAGTTCCAGCAGTGGCCTTGCCCAGAAAACATTTAAATAGCTATTCATGAGTAATATTTAAGATTGTTTCATGTATGTTCCTCACAAATGTTGATGCTGCTGACAGTGCCCAGTCTCATTGTGATTGTCTCATCAGTGGTTTTTGCCTCACCAAGAAAGGGAAGATTTCTGCACAAGTATGGCTTTTTCTGTCCAAAAAGTGATGCTTTGCTGGATGGAAAAAGCTGCTTTGGACAGAAAGACAAACTCAAAAAGTACAAGTTTGGAACCATTTTGGCTGAAAAGGACATTCCTTAATGATAAACAGGCTATTTTATAATTTGTCCCAAAATCCCCATGTCCTTTCATGTCCTTCTTTTTGTCAGTGTTTATAATTGGATTTCACAATCCTGCTGAGTGTATTTAATCTCAGAGGCTTTTTTGAACACTTCCCTGCGTGTGCTGCAGTGCTCACACCTTGCTGACATCTGCCTACATCTCCTTATCAGCTTCTGTGTAACAGCTCCTTGTGGATTGCTGGAAAACCTTGGCTCAGCTCAGGTGTACGTGAGGAAAAGTGCTTTACAGCTTTTGTTGTGTGGTTTCACTGCCATCTCTTAGTTATCCTGGAGGCAGATGCTTTTTATTAACCACTTCAGGTCTAATCAGATTTCTTAGCTTGCGTGTGGCAGCAGTAACAGATCATGGGGCTTGGCTGAGGCTGGAAAGCTCATGACTCAGCTTGCAGAGAAAACTGACTGTGCCATGGCTCTGCTTTTCAGGTCCAGGCTGAGGTTCTCATCCAGTAAAATCACTCCAGTGCTGAGTGTGAGTGAAGCTCATGACAGGATCGTGTACTCTGTCAGGGAGGGCAATGCTGTAAGTTCAGATCCTCTTGTAATCCTTTCACAACCCCAATCGCTGCCCTGTTTGGGAATAATCAACATCCACCAGGGCTATGCCTGCTGCAGCCTTGTTGCCACATGCCAGCTCTTGGCAGAAGGGCAATAAGCAGCCCTGGTTGTGCTGTTGGCTACACCTGGGTGCAAACCAGGAGGTGGGAGGTTGTCTGGGCACTGCAGACCCCATGCTCTGGGGCACTAACACGCTTTTGTAGGTCTCTGGCACCCTGTCGCTGGCTGCTATGGAATCCTTCATCCAGAAGCAGGAGAAGCTGCTGGAAGCAGTCCCCAGCAAAGCTCCTGAAGGCCAGGGAGGCAGAGAAGCCAAGGAAATTTCTGTGCAGGAAGAAATGGATGGGCTGAGCACAGCAGAGCAGGGAGGACATCCAGACACTGACTCTGGTGAGCTCAGCCCCTCTCTCAGTGCTTGAATTTCTCCCCCTCGGTACCACAGCACCTCCAACATCTGCAGGTTCAGCTTGAAAAGTCTTCAGGACCTGCTCTCCTGCCTGTTGCATCTTGATTGAAGGGAAAGCAAATCAGGTTTTCCAGTGCTCTTTGGTGATTACTCTGGGCATTGTTGCTGGTGGAGCAAATTGGGTTTTGGCTCAGTTGTGTCGCTGCAGATCTTCACCTTGGTGTGCTCAGCACAGTCACTGCACAAAGAGGCTTCTTAAGGACACACTGCTTAAACTGGCAATGTTCTAAAGTCAAGGTTTTACAAACTAAAAATGGGCCAAATTACAGTTTACTGGTAGTTTCCAGTTAGCGTTGACATGTCCATATACTATAAAAGGACCTTTTGAGATTAAGTTCAGATAGATTTGATGGGAGTAGCACAAATGTAATCTCAGTTCAAGGAATGATGTTCCCTTTCTGCTTCTAGAACCCTCCTCTGAAGCACCAGGGCTGCCCCAGAACAGTTACAAGATTATCCTGAACACATACAAAAATATGTTCTCCAATCTTTTTCTTGGAATAGCTGAGCTGTATCAGCTGGAACTTCCCAAAAAGCTTCTCTCCAGTGGTTCAAGTTTGGCAAGCTCTGAGTGAAAGCACGTGTTTGTGACAGGATAGGCCTGGTGTTCTGAAACCCAGCCTGTGCTACCAGCTTTGCTTGTAATCTTGGAACACATGCCCATGGTTCTGGGGAAGCAGGACTGGAGCTGGAGGCCAGGGTTCTGCACAGAGCAGGCCAAGTTAGCTGAACTCTGAGGGAAGTGGAATGTCAGTGATCTCAAATGCTTGCAGGTCTGGGATGCTTCAGGCTGGGCTAGCAGGGTGAGGAAAACAAATGTCTGGATAAAAAGGCAAACCCATGTCCATATCTGCTCAAGGAGTGACTTCTGGGAAGTGGTTGGCCAACAGCTCTCTGAGGAAGAGGATTTGAATGCTGTGGGAATAAACAGCTTGCTGAAGATGCTCAAGAGTGACTTCTGGGAAGTGGTTGGCCAACAGCTCTCTGAGGAAGAGGATTTGGATGCTGGAATAAACAGCTTGCTGAAGATGCTCCCTGTGTGAGGTTCTGGGGAAGCTCCAGCCTGCTCCAGACTGCACTGGGAAGTCTCAGGGGGCAAAAAAAATGGGCAGTAACTTATGGCTCAGAGCAAGAGGTGCCAAGTGCCCTGTCTTTTCCAAGTGAAATCCTGGAATGAATTAGTCCAGCTTTTGGGAAGAGGAAGAGCAGAGGAGGAGAGGTGTGGGGTCCAGAATCCCTCTTCCCTTTATTTCCTGTAGTAAATTGTGAGTGTAAATTGTCTCTGTAGACAGAGAGGTTGGAAGATGAGGCATGAGGGGAGCCAAATTAGGAAAAGCTGCTGCACAGGATCTCACCTGGACAACAGAGTCGAGGCAGCAGCCTCAGGTCGGGGTGGTGGCCTAGGAGTGGCTGTCTGGGGCAGTTTTGTGGCACATCAATGAGCTTGTTCAGCACAACACCTCAAGGCCAAACAGCCTGAAAGTAATTCCTTAACGAGTAGAAACTGTTTCTGCTGAAGGCTCTGACATCCACCTGAGGATCAGAGGGAGGTTTGGTGTCCCAGGTCTGTGACAGCAGAGATATTTGGGTAGGTGTGTGGGTTTATGTTTTAACTGGTAGATCTGGCTTATCCAGATGTGTTTCATCCCGCTCCCTGCCAAGCCTGGGATCTGCCACACGATGGCAGCCTGCAGCCACCAACCTCGTGCCTGGAAAACTGCTGGAAGAAGGGGAAGGAATGGGGAAGACCAGAGTGACAGTGCACCTCTTCCTGGCTACAGTCACCATTGCTTTGTCACCTGTTTTGGGCACGTGGCCAACCCTGTGCATGGACTGGGATTTGATAATCCTGCTGTTTAATTGAGAAGGAACTGAGCCTTTGGTGAAGCCCTGGCTGGGAGACTGGGGCTGCCTGGATGAGGTGGAAGTTAGAGTGGGGAGGGCAGGGTCCCAGGCTGGCTGGGCTGCAACAGTCATCTGTGTGTGCACAAAGGGCCAGGCTGGGGAGAAAATAATGAGTTTGGGATGATGCTTTTCACCAGATTTGCCCTGAGGTGGCTTCTTCATCTGCCCCTCCTCTTCCTCCTGACAGACTCCGAGACAGCTTTGGCTGACCTGGCCATGGATGTGCTTCGTCTGGTGCTGGTGGATCACTGGGGCTGGCTGTGCACAGAGAACATCCAGAAGGTCTTCAACCTGCTCTTTGGGACCCTCCTTCAAAGGTAAGGCCAGAGTGAGCAACCTGGCCCCTGTGAGAGGCATTCCCTTTGGAGTCACAGTTGGAAGTGGAGCTTGTGCCTGAGTGCAGATAAATGCTGTGTGTGCACCAACCAACAAGGTTCTGTAAAGCAGGTGCTCCATTAATGTGGAGTAAACACCCCTGAGGATCTGCACCAGGAGCTGTTTTCTCTGTGAGCAGTGGTGCAGCTCTAATGGGCAGCCTCCTGTCCCTTGAAATCAAGGAAAGGGAAGATCCAGCCCTGGGAGTGGGAGTCTTGGCTCATGCAAGGGCAGCAGTGCCCAGCTCTGGGGCTCTCCAGGGAGCATTGGCCTCCTGGTCTGTGCTCCCCAGGGCTTCAGCTTGTTCCTTCTGCAGAAATAGAATAAACAGGCCCAGGGAGCAGTGACTGTCAGTGACAGCTCGCGGTGTGGTCTCTGCTCTCACTGCTGCACCCCTCTGCTCTGCCTGTGCCTGGGGCAGGGACCCACACATGGAGTAGGGACAGGCTTCCTTTCCAGCTGGGATGGACTTGCCAAGCTTTCCTGGGGCCAGGGCCTCTGGGTGGTAAGGCTCAAGGCCAAGACACACAAACAGAGAATTCCTGGTTTTTGGTGTAGTTGGTGACTGTCACTAGCTAAGGATGTGGTTTTTTAGAGCACAAGGAAGGCCTTCCCTGAAGGGCTTGGGAGAGTCTCGGAGCAGTGCTTTTCCCACTCCTGCGCCCCTTCTCCTGCAGGCATCCAGAGCCAACATCAGAATGTGCAGGGCAGCTCATTATAACAGAGCTGGTAACCTGAGCTGCCCTCAGCAGAGATTGCCAAAGTGCTTTGAGGTCAGTCCTGGTCTGTTCCTTCAGTGGCAGGAGGTGGGGGCTGCTCCCACTTCTCCAGAATGGGCTCTGGCCTCTTGGGAACAAGCTGCAACCCAATCTGTGTGTGTAAGCACAGAGGTATGAGAGCTTCAACAGGCACATCATCACCTCCTAATAAGCTGTGTCCTGGTCACCCAGGGAGCCTGCAGCACCCACACGTGGCATTGGCATTTTCCACTAGAGAAGGTGGGATACACACAGCACATCCTGGCTCTGGAAGGTGGAGGAGCTCCCTGAGTTGTGCTGGTGGAAAGAGTGAGGAGGAATGTGTTTGTAGCTGCTCCACTTGAACAGGTCAGAGTGAACCCACGTGTGCTGTAGGCAGAGCTCTGGCTGGGGGTGATATGGCGAAGCCCTGGGACTTCTTAGTGTCCCCATCAGTTCAGGGTGTAACTACAACCTCTTGGGCAAACCCTGTGTCTGTGCTGAAATCCATATGTTGAGGCTGGTTCTGCTCTTGTTCTGGGACAATCGGGAATCCCAGGGGAAAGAACTGCAAAGTGGGGACTGGCCTGTCACCAGGAGGATGGTGTTGCACCTGGATTGCTGCAGGGAACACTTTCCTCCCATTTCTGCTGCCTGTAGTTGCCTTCACAGTGGAGGAGATCTGGGAATGGGGAGCCTTCCTGCTGTTTGCCATTCTCCCTGGCCCTGAGACTTGTACTCATTCCTGGCCCAGGTGGTCACTGCTGTCCTGAGCAGACCAGAAGGTCTCAGACCTGTCTAGGGATGCAATGTGGATTGGTGACATTTCTCTTCCATTTAAGTGTTTACAACTTGGTCACTGCTCGGCCAGACCTGGCACTGCCATTTTGGCTGGCCCTGTGTCTGGGGACCCTTTACAGGTGGGGAAAGTAGCAGAAACTCTTCTGGGAGCATCTGCTATTCAAGGAATTGATGCTGCTGCCTCTGAGAACAGGCAGACAAACATGGGACAGCAGATGGATTTGCATTGTCTTCAACCATTGCTGGTCACAAAGTATGAGTGGGCATCATCCCTTCAGGAGATTAGACCCTTCCTGTTCCTGCCAGTGGCTGGGTTAGGTGGTAGGGGGTGAAAAGGAGGTGTCCTGGCAGTGTTTGGAGGGGCTGCTGCTGGATACTCCTCTGCCAGCTTGTATTTGGAGAGTAGGTGCTGTTCCTGCTGCCTCCTTGCAGCTGCCAGATGAGGATTCTGCTCTGGCATGAGACACTGCATGCAGAGTGATAGAAATGACCACAAACCAACAAAACTCACACCAAGAACGAGATCCAGCTTCTCCCAAGAGCCAGTCCCCCACTTCTTGGAGGACTTTCTGCCTTGGACTGGCAGTGCCATCAGATGATTGCTGTGACCACACTGTTACTGATGGTGGGGCCTCCCGACCTGCTCCATTCCCTGTTCTGTGCAAGGAGCATCCCACCACGCTCCTCCTTCCTCCTTCTCCTCAGCTGGGCTAGCTGGAGCCAGGCACCATCCGTCTCCCTGCCTGTCAGTCCCATGGCAGTGGGAGAGGAAGGCTCCATGACCGAAAAAGGGATTGTTGAGTAAAGGGCGGCCGTGTGTGCGAGCCCGGGTCCGCACTGCGCCCATCCCATTATGTAACAGGGAGTGATCCTTTTTTGGAGCTGAAAGGAGAGGCGGATGGAGGGGCTGGGAGTGGGAATGACCCTGGGGCCGAGGATTGCTTCCAGCAGCCTCTCTGCGTGCTGGGGCCGTGCCTGTAAACAAACCCTCTGCCCCGCTCCCGCCTCTGGCCGGCTCCGCTTCCCTCCCGCGGGCTGCAGAGGATCATCTCCTCTTCCCCTGGGAGGCTGCAGCAGGAACCTGCTGGCACAGGGGAGGAGGTGGGGCTATTCTGGGCTCTGCCGTTCGGTTCAAGAGCTGCAAAGCATTTGGAGAATCTGGGTGCTTTTTAGAGCCTTGTGAGTCAATGAGGTGTTAAAAATACACGGCAAACACGCAAACCACTCGTGCTGTGACCCCACACCCTGCTGTGACCCCACACCCTGCCCTCAGTCGTCCCCACAGTGGCCACAGGTCTGTGGGATGCCAGTGCCCTGCAGAGCTGGGGACAGTGCTGGAGCCAGGGTGACAGCCACCATCTCTGCTTTCCAGAGGGGAGCTCCAGCAGAGTGCCAGCACCCCAAGGATGGACCTGGGAGTATTCAAGGGGCAGATCCTGGTTTGTAAGCTTTTCCTGGCTCCTTCCCATGCAGCACAACAGAAAGGCCATGGCCACAAAGCACTGAGTGGGGGGAAGGTGTCTCAGCACACCCCGGCTGTCTGTGCCCTGGAACCTGAGCAGGGCTGGGCACAGAGTCTGTGCCAGGCTCGGAAGTGCCTGTCCCTGAAAGGAGCATGTGGAACTACTCAGGCAGCTTTGCTGGTGTCATGTTCCACTGAGCATGAGTTAAAATAAATGTAAATCATCCCTGTCTTACCCACGAGCTCAGCACTGCTTGGCTTGCTGTTTGCTTTGGGTCATTCCCGTGCTCCTCCAGGCTTTGTCCATGTCCCCTCATCCCTTGGCCAAACTGGAAGATTTGAGGAGGTGATATTCCAGTCTGTGTGAGCTGTAGGTGGAGAGGCAGGGATGATTTGGGACTGGTTGCAGGTCACCATCATGCTTTTGAGACCTGGCTCTTGCAAGTTCATGCTGTCACCTTGGTGTTGGGCTCTGCTGGTGTCAGGCTGAGTGTCACAGGCACTTGTAAGTCAAGGAGGTCTGGAGCTTCAGAGAGCTGCTGCCTGGGTGCTTTGTTCTGATTTTCTCTTCGGTTCTCTTTGATCTCTGTGCCAACAGAACTGGCACAAAGACCCTTGGCAGCCCCCTTGGTCCTCTTGACTGGAAAGTGCCACCAGCAAAGAGTGATGCCTGACCCTCTTCAGTGTTCCTGAGTAAACCTGGAGCAGCCAAGCACTCCTGGGCTGGCAGTGCTGGGAGCACAGTGCCCATGGGCAGGGAGTTCTGCCAGCCCTGGAGCCATGGAGGGGCCACGTCTGGCAGCTGAGCCTGTGCTCCCACTTCCCTTTGGCTTCCTGGCTGCCAGGTACCACTCCAGCCTCAGGCAGCGCCTCTGAGTTTTGCTGGCAGAAATGCAATATCAGTGCATCTGGGGCATCTGAAACTACTCATTCTCCTGGTTTGTTACCTGAGGAGTGGATTTGGGCATGTTTGATGAGGATCTCTGCAGCTGTACACAGAGGGGCTGTGCTGGCAGGCCCAGGTATGTGGCAGCAAAGTCCCTGTCCCTAAAAACAAGCCTAAAATCAGCACCAGAGTTGGGAATTAGTGGAATCAACCTCATGGCATCTTACTCCTCATTTCTGGATTTGGCTGTTTGTGTTGTAGCCGTGAGGAGCAGCAGGAACTGCAGCCTGTGGTATGTCAGTAAAAGTGATTTCAGGACTCTGTGTGTCTTCGTGTGTATATGCAAAGTAAATAAAATCAGCTTGGAAATGGGCCTCGATTCAGTTGTCTCCAAGCACCTGGAAATTTTGGATCTGGCTTTGAATCTCTGTCCCAAACAAAATTTGTTTCCCTCTTCTAGAAGCAGCATTCTTCCAAAAACAGCCACTAGAATGAAGCCAGCACTCCATGCTTTGATAATAATTGCAACATTATTCTAACTCTTGATTCTGTTTCAATGGTTACACATGCCAGCTTTCTTCCTGGAGTTAAAAAAGCTCAACAACTTCCTGTTTCAAATAGAAGAAAAGGATTGAGTGGAAGTAATGTCTCACTGTTGGTTTTCGTTTTCTCTGGTTTTAGAAGGGTTAATAGTGGATTTATGTATTTTGATTCTGAAGTGGGCTAATGAAGCAATTGTTCCAAGCAGAGCCTGGCTGAAACAGCCTGGCCTCTCCCTGGGGCACCACTGAGAGCTTAATTGGCTCAATAAATACTTGAAGAAGATGTTATCAAAAGCCAGGATGCTTTGTGAAAAATCAAGGAGGTTTGGGGACGATTATTTTAATCACATATCTTTTCCCCCTTCCCTGAGCCCCAGGGCATCTCAGGAAGATCTAGATTGGGAAAAGCAGTGGTTAATTCCCTACAGGGTGAAGCCATTGGAGTCCTGTGAATTTCCATGATTTCTTCTTGCAGCAGGTGAGTTTTGAGGGAGCAACACATAAAATGGCACAGAAATCCCAGCACCAAGGGGTGCTTTCCTCCCTGCAGGGATGAATGATTGCCTACAGAAGAGAATGATTTCTTTTACTTCCTCTCTGCCCCACAGTAAGATGTCCTGCACACCCACATCCCCCAGAGTTTCTGCCTGGGTCAAGCAGGTAGGAAAATCCCTCTGCCCAGGATGTCCCCAGCCAGGTCCAGGACAGGTTGTTTGCAACTCTAACCATTCAGCAGGGGAAGAACATACCAAGAAGGAGAATTTACTTTGTGCAGAAGTTTGAAAGGCCTCAGGATGCTTCATGTCCTTTCATTTATGGAGGTTTTTTTTCCTTTTCTTTCCTGTTTCCTTCCTCAGCACAGGGTTTACCCATGGCCTGGACAAGTGTGAGGTTGCTTTGAAGGTGCTGAGCTAAGCGTGCTGCACATTTTCTGCTGTGTGGAGAAGGTGGATTTAGGCTCAGGTAGCAGGTGCTGAAAGCTGAGCCTCAGGGCAAAAACTCTCCATTTGTGTTTTTCAGTTCTTGCTGTGCCCACTGCAGCTGTTGCTTCATTTTTACAAGGTTTCCTCAGAAAGGTTTTGCAGTCAAAGCACTGAAATGTTCCTCCTCTTGAACCCTTGAGTTAAGGATAATCTTGTGCTTTATCTGAGGAGGAATTTGGGGAACAAGAACTGGTAAGGCAGGGATGGTCTGGTGATTTAAGCACCAGACTTTCTTAATTTCAGAGTCATGCTTCAGTGCCTCGTGTTTTCCAGATGTTGCTTTTTTTCTTCAATCCTTTTCACTACATTGGTCCCAGAGGCCTTTTTTGAGCTGCTGGATATCCACACTGTATTCCTTAGGGCAAGGGGGCCATGTTCTGGGGTGGGCAGCAGTCAGTGTTGAGCTGGACATGCTAGTTCATGTGTATTTGTAGAGCTGTTTGTATTTCTACAGCTAAAGCAGAGAGGCTTTCTCCTCTTTGTCATCTTCTAGCCTGACCTTCAGTTTATGTTTATCTAAATCCTTAAAACCCCTGGGTTTGAGGAAATCACAATTGCTATTGCTTCAGGTTTCAGTTACAGTCAGCATATTTAACTTGACTCTTCCTTAGCTGAAGTGATCTCGGTTTTTATCCTCACCTTGATGGACAAAACAAGCAGAGCTTTACCCATTTCTGGCAGATAGGTATAAACTGAGAGTATTACATCTCTTTGTTCATTCTTAGTACATCTTTGATGTCTAGACTAAGCAAATCCAACCTGTCCAGGCTTTACTTGCTGAGCTGAGCTCTCTGGATAGTCCAATTAAGTGAGAGGATCCAGCCAGGTAAAACCAAGCCCATTTACCTGGTCCTGACTCTCAGCCTGCCTTTCCTCCCTCCTAGCAGCCCTTGTTGTTTCTAGGAGCCCAAGGAAGGCCAAGGTTTGCACTCCCCAGCCCTTGTTTTTCATTCCCAGGGCTTTCTTATCCTAATGGACCCCTTCAGCTGACCTTGGAGTTCCAGCTTAAACCGTGGCATTAATTTGGCTCTTTTTTAGCAGCAATTTCATTCCTCCACCAGCAGCTATTTCAAATGGAGGTGCCTTACAGCATGGGCAAGTTATGCCCCTGCAGATTATCTTCCAGGCCTCAGCAGCCTTTGCAGTCTGGCTCTTTGCATTGGGCACTATCAAAGCATTCTGAGCCCAGGAGGTCACTTTACTTATTTCTGAAGTGTAAGGAGATGGTTCTGTGATGGGTTTATTTTTTTCTTTCTTATTAAGGCTATTTCTTCATGAAATAGCAGAATGAAAATAGTAACTCATCAGCCATCCAAAAATAAAAAAATAAGAGAGGTCTATTTATTTTCTTGGTGGATTTATTTCTACCTGGGAGCAGTGTGTGAGTGCTTTCAATGTGGCACATGAATCTCAAATGCATAGGCCTTTAATAGCACAAAAAATCATCTGTGACCTGCTGGTGAAGGTCAGCTTTGAACCAGCAGATATTTGGAGTTCCTGAGGTGTTAATCCCAATCCTGGTGCAACAAGTCTGCCTGATGGAAAGGTCAGTTTGCCATTTTCTGGGGTTTACTCAGGTAGGAATTTTCAATAAAGTTGGTGTGACTCTCTCTGAGATGTAACTACAGGTGTGGGAGTTGAGGGGGCATTCTTGGGATGTCCTGTGCAGGGCCAGCAGTTGGACTTGACCTTCCTTGTGGGGCCCTTCCAATTCAGGATATTCTGTGGATTACTTTGCTCCTCACAGTTAAATGCTGCTGGTGCAGCCTCTGTGTGTGTTGGAATGGAATGTGATTCCCCAAAGTGGGTGTTGATGGTGGACTGTGGTTGAGAGGAGGGAAGAAAACTCTTCATGACAGGCCACTGTGTGCTGAGACTTTCCCTTGAAACCTCAGATGTTCTCCCAGAGTGGATTTAGAGCCACATGGACCAGTCTTGACAGTTCTCTGCTAGAATCTGAAATGTAAAGAACTCTCAGAACTTCGGGCCTGCAAGGCAAAGCTTAAACACAAGATTTGATCTGAGACCATGGAAAAGGCTTCCAAACTTAAGTGATAGAAGCAAGAATGTGGATTTATGGTTTAAAACAAAGACACATTAAATTAAGTAGAAAAAGTTGAGAGTTTTAGAGTTTTAAGATATAAAAATAAAAGTAGTTAGAAGGGTAAACAAGGAGTTTAGAATGCAGCACTGTAGGATTGTGTGTCATAACATGATTAGCTAAGAAAGCTTACACTGTAGCATGAGTGCATAAGATGGAATATTTAAAGACATAAATATCCTTGTTGGCAGTGTTTTATTAGTCAATAAATCCTTAAAAGGTCTTGTAACTAAAGGTTTTGTGACCTTCTGAGCCATATAGTAAAGATGTGAGCCAAACTCCCCCTTCCTGCCTATGTAGAAGATAGGAAAAGAAACCACATCATCAAAAACAATTCAGAAATCCCATCTCTAACTCATTCAAAACTCTTTCAAGATCCCATTCTCCTCTTCCCAGTGCCTTTGGAATGGCTCCACTGGCAAAAGTGAGCCCAGAGCAGAGGTGCTTTAGTCTGTGTTCCATTTGCACCTGCCTTTGGTTTCTCCTTTCTTGTCCCATTTCCTGTTTAGTTCCTTGACTTTCCCTTGTAAACTTTGTGGGTTTGGGTGCTCCTTCCCCAGCTGTCTGAGCAACGTGGGCCAAGTTGGCCTCTTCTGAGGAGCTGTGCAAGACCCATGGAGCCATTCCTGCCCTCTGCTTCCCAAAGCTGCCAGCCCAAGGAAGAAAATCCATCCGTGGTGTTTCACAACTGTGGAAATCCAGACCTGTAAGCACTCGCCTGCTCACAGTGTGTGCAGATCACATTTAGATTGGGTGATCACATTTAGAGGTGTTACTTGGGGGCCTTGTTGCCCAATTCTGGTGCTTTTAGGGACATACATGAGCTGGAAACAGGAGGTTGTTTGTGTGGGGCCTTCCAGCATTTGTCAGTTCTCAGCTTGCTCTTGAGCTGTCTGGAAATGTGTGCTGTTCTCTGTAGGTTCAACTTCTCTCTTCACTATTTGCTTGATTTTTTTGCTATTTTAGGAACGTCTCTAAGACAAAAAAAGCTTGTTCTTTGCTTTCTGCAACCTTTTAAAGGCTGGAAAGTGGCTGTTGCTGTAATGAGTTTGGAGTCAATGTTCAGTCTGATCCCCCTTGGTGCAGGGTTGACTGTGCAGCTCTGTCCCCAAGTCTCTGAACTTCTGTTGCTTGTCAGATGTTTTCTCAGCTAAGAGAGCAGGTTGTGTAAGAAAACATGTTAATGAAAAACCATGTTAATGAAAAACCGTGTTAATGAAAACTCTTGCCCCTAGAGAAGTCACAGTTTAACACTTTAATTTGCTTGGGAATAGCTGGAGGGTTTACCATGATCCAGAGTGTTAAAATCTGCTGATGGCTGGAGATTAAAACCCCTTTAATTGTATTTCCAACATGGCTTTTCCCAGGCAGGACTGGGATGTGACATTTTGTCCTCTAAGCCAGGTAGGAGGTTTGCACCTCTGGATTATCTTGCAGCAGCATCCATACTCCGTGTCCATGGCAATGCTGAGCATGAAGGATGTGCTTCCCATTTCCAGTGCCAGTCCTGGGAGCACTGGGAACATCACCTGTGTCCCTTGCTCTGAGACATTCCAGGCCTTACCACTGCACTGAGATCCTTTTCAGGTTTTTTAACGTCCTTTGCTTTCCAGCTGGCGTTTCCTAGGTGTGCATCCCTCAAGAATTGCTGTTTACCCCTCATTTTTTGCTGCCAAAGGGATCCTCACTCCACAGCCCTGTCCCATATGATGCCAACCTGCTTACCTTTGGGTGTTGCTGTTCCCCGGTGCCCAGCTGTGTGGGGAAGGACACCCTTGGCCCGAATGCCTCGCCCAGGAAGAATGCAGACAGTCTGGCAGAGCGCAGGTTAAATAAAGTTTGCCTTGGCAGGGCTCTTGGATGTACTCGGAGCTGCCGGGGCGTAGTGGTGACGGAATTGCAAGCACGAACACCAGCTGCCAAGAGGAACGGCTCTCCTGGCCCTGCTGGCTGACTCCTGTCCTCTGGGAATCTTGAAGAACTGGCGGAATCACAAGTTTTTCCCTACCCCAGCGCCGTGCTGACACTCCCAGCTTTGCTCCAGAGCCTCCTGCCAGTGAGGCCAGCAGCACCAGCAGTGCTGCACCCTGAGCCCTGCTAAATCAGGGAACCTTCCTGTGGGATCCATCCTCTCCTCATTCTGAGGGCAAACATGTTAGGCAGTGCAAGTTCTGCCTGATGGCTGAGGCTTGTGCTGTGACTAGGGAGTGATTTCACATCTGGGCAAGAGGGTCCATCCATATGGTCGATTTAGAAACTGCCTGGCCAGCCCTTGGGTGGTGGGGACACATCATCCAGTGCAGCTGCAAACCCCTCCAAGCCCTTCTGTGGAGCAGGGATTTGGGAATTTGCAGGTGGTTACTGAGAAAGGGCACAGTACTGCCCCAGCAGGAGGGACCATCAGCAGTTCTGCTGGATTTTCGATGGGAACAAAAAAATTCTTGGTTGTGAGAGTGAGGAAACCCTGGCACAGGGTATCTGGAGAAGCTGTGGCTGCCCCTTCCTTGGAAGTGTCCAGGGCCAGGTTGGATGGGGCTTGGAGCAGCTTGGTCTAGCAGAAGGTGTTCCTGCCCAGATGAGCTTTAAGGTCCCAAAATCAAACCTTTGGGGATTCTATTATTTCATTGCTTGCCATCAGTGGATGGAGCAGTACTGGACAGCAGGGCAGCATGGACAGCAGGATGAGAGGGGGGTGAAGCATCAGGATATTCATGGCTTGTCATCCTTGGAGTGTGTTTTGGTCTTCAGGAAAGACATCCTTGGCTGTCTCGGTAGCAGAGGAACTGATGAGAGGAGCAGAGGCTGCCAGAACAGGGCTCATGTGTTTCCAGTCCTTCCTGGGGATTGTTTGTAGTTAAACACCAGTTCCTCCAGCTCTGTCTCAGATTGTGCTTGGAGATAACTTAGGAGCTTCAGGCCAGTCATATCCCTGAACTGGGCTTCCTTTAGTCACCAGTGATTCACTTGGGGTCCTGTGATTAACAGGGTGATGGGGCTTTTTATGACCTTTGTTTGTCCCATTTGTCTGTAACACAGGGAACATATCCCACTTTTGGTGCATGGAAAACTCAGCTAATTAAGACTTGTGGAAATCTTTGGTATACAGACATGAAAACTGCACGCTAACAAACACAAAGAAGCTGATTTAACCCTCTTTGATGTGTGGAAATATCCCAGCTGGGTCCCAAGCTGGACTTTTCCTGACCTTTGTCCCTGTCCCTGTTCCTGCAGGTGGCTGGAAGTGCAGATGGTTACCCTGACCTGCACCCAGCGCTGGGTCCAGTACCTCCAGTTGCTGCAGGAATCCATCTGGCCTGGAGGAGTTCTACCAGCAGTGCCTAAACCCCCCAGGACAGAGGAGCAGAAGAAGGCAACAGCAGAGCAGGCCCTGCAGAGCCTGATGGGGATCTTGCCCAGTAAGTGTGTCCCAGAGACTTGTCAGCTGCCCTGGGATAGGAAAGCAGCTGGGGAACACTGCAGTGCACTGGAATCTCTGGAAATGTGGTTAAATACAGAGATGGAGGCTGCTTGTGCCAAGGCACTGGGAAACCTTCGTGACCCTTGAGGTTTGATGGTTTCCTGCAAGCAAAACCCAGAGTTTTCCAGTTCTGGATAGTTTGTGTAAGGGTTTGGGAAGCAGCCCAGCTCGGAGGGAAGAGATGTGAGTCCAGGCCATTCCCATCTGTAGCCAGGCCATGATTCAGTGCTCACAGTTCTGAGCCACCTCACCAAGGCAGGGCTCAGGACAGCTTTGCTCCCACCTGCTGCCAGAGGGTCCCATGGTGAGGAAAGTCACCACGCAAAGCCTGTGGCTTTTCCACTGGACTGAAATCCCAAGCCCAGCTGCACTGGATTTCTCTCTCTTGAAGTTTGACACGGGGACCTTTGGCATTAAAGCAGCTGCTGCCTAATCTGTGTGAGTGCAGTGTGAACTTTTAACTCCTTGATGTAGTGTAAAGGGCCCTCACTGGCCTTTGGGAATGAAAAAGCACTGCTGGTATGTGCCCTTCTGGCCAGGAATGCTTTCCTGGCACTCCCTCCTCTCCCAGCCCCAGAGCACCATCATAAGCTTTGATCAGCACCCACCAGGAGAAGACTGACCTGTGGAATGTACACTTCCTAAAGCTTTGTCTCCAACACTTCCAGATGTGATCCAAGAAATCCTTGGGACCAGTAAGTGTCAGATGAGCTGGAACCTGGTGCTGGAATCGCTGAGCCAGCCTGTGATAAACAGGTATGTGATTGTGATCTTTACCCTGGTGGGCTCTGAGAGCTGTGCCCAGGGTTTTGCCGGTGGTGCTTGGCACCAAACACCCAGCTTATTATTCCAGACTTGCAATATCAGGGAGCATCTGCATGTCTGGCTGCAGGTTATTGAGCCAGTCATGTTAATTATGTTGTTTGGCCTGCTTAGTTAGTGGATGTCAGGGAAGTAAGACAGATCCTGGTTTAGTTGGGTTCTGGAGGAACTGCAGGTCTGTGTAGGGGGTGTTTCTGTCTATTCCCAATGCTGTGAGCCTGGAAAACAAGGGTTTGGTGATGGACAGCAGAAAAATGAGGGTCACACTGGACATCAGGAGATATTTCTTCACTGAAAGGGTTGTTAAACATTGAAAAGGGCTGCCCAGGGTGGTGTTGGAGTCCCCATCTTCTGAGGTGTCCAGGGAACAACAGGACATGGCACTCAGTGCTCTGGGCTGGTTGACAAGGTGGGGATTGGGCACAGGTTGGACTCAATGACCTCAGGGGTCTTTTCTGTCTTCAGTGATCCTGTGATCCTGTTAAACATGTGTTTTGCTCCAGAAGATTCATTTGTGTTTTCTGTGCTGCTCAGCAACTTCAACACCCACTGGCTTGGGGAAGTGAAAAAAAGCTGAACCACCTCTGGAAACATTTCTCTGGGGACCCGATATTGTTCCTTTCTCCCCTGGAGCATTGGAACACTCTTTCCTTGTGCTGAGCTTTGCCTCCCACGCCCTGACCAGCCTTTTTTGTCTTTTTTCCATTCCAGGCACCTGGTGTTCTGCCTCCTGGACATTCTGCTGGAGTTCTTGGTTCTGAAGGGCTCCAGCAAGGAGCCTGAGGCTGCAGCTGCCACACCGTGTGCCTGCAGTGGCCCAGACAAAGGAGCCCCAGCACTTTAACCAGGGCTGTGCCCCAGCAGTGGAGGAGAGAAGCAGCCACAGGCATGGAGTGATTGGATTTTCAGCCTTTACTGACCGTGCTTCCTTACTGCTCTTAAGGAATTTCTGCAGCAGTGCTAAATGAAGCTGCTTCCAGGCTTCTCTGTTTCAGCTGGGTCGTGGATCAAACCCAGTGTGGGGGGCTGGAGGTGCTGTGCAGCATCTGTTCCATTGCTGACCTGATGGGGAGCCTGGAGTGAACCAGCCTGACCAGCTGGAGAAGGAACCACAGACCCTTCTGAACATCTCTGACATCTACAGAGAATGCAGGAGATCTGCTTTTGTGGCTTCAGGGTCCACCTGGCACTGAGAGCTGGTGTGCTGGGATCCTGCTGATGAATGTTTCTGCAGGACAGGTGCAGGGGTGCAGTGCTGTCCCTGCTGTCTGAGCAGCCTGCCCTGTGCCTGCTCTGCACCATCTGTGTCACCAGAAGGAAGATGGGGAAAGGATGGAGCGTGGAGATGTAGTCCTTAAGTTCAGCATTCATTCCAAATATCTGGAAGGTGAGAGCAGGAGCCAAAGGAGCTGCCCTGCCTTAGGGACAAAGATCAGCTGCTTCTCCCTGCCCCTGCTCTAGTTCTCCATCAAACAGTGGGGTGCAGGCAGGCTGTGATCCTGGGAGAGACTCTCCTCAGGCTAGGGAGGAGTGGTGGCTGGGCTGGACTTTAGGACTTTTTTATATTGTGCTTTCTGAGTCACCTTTTGGTCCCTAGGACAGTCACCTGGAAGGCACAGACCAAAAGAGCTGACCCATGGGGGACACAGCAAGTAAATCAGCTCCCACACTGAAGTGGTTGTCACAGGAAGCTCTGGAAGAGGAATGAGGACCTTGAGCCCAGGGGAATCCTGGATGTGTGTCATGGACAGTGGGTTAGACCCCAGCAAAGGGCCTGGGAGCACTGCCTGAGCTCTGCTGCCCATGGCTGTGTCACTGGGCTTTGCTTTGCTGTGCCTGCTGCTGGCACACTCTGTGCAGGGCTCTGGAAAGCTGCTCAGGTCATGGAACAGGGATTTGGAGCTGCTCCTCCGGGTGTCCAGGACTTGAGTGGCTTTGTGAGCACTTAGTGTTGCTCAGCAGTCAGGTTCCTGGGAGTACTAAAGGACTCAGAACATGCACCCACAGCCCAGTTTGGTGACCTGCTTTGGTGTATTTTCTGGGAGAAGCACAGACTGACCAGTGCTGCCCTGGGCTGGTGAAGGTGCTCCCTGCAGATCACAGGAGACTCCACACAGGGAGCCATGCAGGATCACATGTGGTGTCTGTGCTGCAGGACCAGGTGGTTTCATGCCACAGAACCATGGAATACCAGGCTGGAACAGACTGCCTGCAGTTTCTTGGAGCTGGATGCTCCATGGCATGTTTGGAGAGAAGGCAGTGTAACTCCAACATGCCTATCCTGCTCCTCCGAAGGAGCTGCTTAATTATGGATACACAACAGTGTGAGCTGCTCTGTGCTTCTGTTGTGTGGAAATACAGAAAAGGATCATTTTGCTGCAGGCAAATAGATTTTTAGGGAGCTCTGAGGACATCCCAAGACCAGGCAAAATCCAGTGTCCTGAAGCAAATCAATTCTGCATCACTATTGGGGCCATTTCTCAGCAGGGAGGCTTCAGAGATGGTAGATTGGCCACCTGCTTGGAGAAGAAGGGAGGGGTGTGTTAAGTGGTTTAAGAGTAGATGAGGTGGAGAATGCTTTGGGATAATCCCAAATGGCCAAGCAGCAGTTTGGGAAGCAGGACTCAGATAAATTCTTAAATATCTGCTTGGAGCAGCTGCTTCACCTTGTCTTTCACTGCCAGGCTCCTGTTTCCCTCCTTTTTCCTCCTGCTTCCATTTGCCCCCCCAGCTGTCAGGAGGGGACAAGGCACCCTGAGCCAGAGGTGGTACAGCTGAGCCCTGCTGTGCCTGGTGGCTTCCCAGATATTCCTGCTGTTCTTGTTTGCTGTTGCTTCCCAATGAATTGTGTGGTTTTGGAGCTCCAGGACTGTGCTCTGCCATTTATTAGGGAGAGGCTTTGCTGAAGAGGATCATGGAGTACAAATTATCCACTGCCAGCTCCAGGTTAGGGCAAAAGGCTAAAACAGTGCCTGCACACAGTGGATGTGGCACTGGCAGGATGAGCTGACACTTCTCCTTTGCCAGGAAGCCCAAATTCTCCCAGCTTTTAACCCCCATCTCTGAAATTATGGAAATGACTGAATGTTCAGTCCTCCAGATGGAAATAATCTGTGATTACTGCCAGTTTGGGGGCTGGTGCTCTGCTGGGCTGGTGCAGCAATGATTTGGGGTTGTCCCGGCAGCAACATCCTCCTCTGTGTAAGGTACAAAGAGCTGGGACAGAGAGAGAGAAAGGAGATTTATTTTTGTGCACTCTCAAGGCAGTGTGGGAGTGGGGAACAGACCTAAGGAGTTTGAGTTGCAGAATGTTGTTTTACTCTGCAGAACCCCCTTTCTTGTCTCAGATATGAAGGGTTGGAGCCCTTTCTCATGCTCTCACTGGCTGGGCTTCAAATTCCCATTCTCTCCTTGGGAGATCTTAGTGCAGCCTTACAGCTGAGGTGAAGTGCCCAGGAGCAAACAGCCCCTCTCTGCATCATGTTGTTAAGGAGTAAAACAAATCCAATAAAAAGCTCAGCTTTTTTTCTACTGTGAGTTCTTTGCCTCACTGTGATTTTGGGATTAAATTGAGCACAATGGTGGCAGATACAAACTTCTGCATTCAGGTGGGCTGAAAGTTTATTTCCATTGGACTAAGACTAGAAAAACTGCTCTGATAAAACAAACAGAGTTGACAAAAAAAAAAAAACTTAAGCTTGCTCAGTGTGTCATATTCCCAGCAAGCTCCTTTTTTTCTGCAGGAATTTGTAGAAGGAATTTGCAGAAGGCTCCAGCCACCTCTCTAAAGGGCGGGTGGTGAGAGCAGCCAGATTTGACCTCAATAAAGACTTGCAGCTTTGTGTCACGTTAGGTCAAGAGCAGTACCTGCCTCAGGTGGGTGCTCAGCTCTCCCTCTCCAGGTCCTTCAGCCTGTGTGAT